TGTAAAATTCAAGTTCTTGAGAATGTTGAAAGTTTTGCCGGTAAGAGATATATTCCTGTTTCATTAAACTTACATAGCTTTTTACCATAGCTATATCTAATAAATCAGGGTTAAAGTCAGGAAGCTGAAAGTATTCTGACATATTCATTAAATGAGAGTGGAAGCTATTTTTGCCATTACAGTGTAAGTCGAATGACATTAAAAAAGCTTGTTTGACGAGAGATTCCTCATCTTTAGAAAACATATATCACGAAATATGTTCTTTTGCTCTTGATGAAGATACAAGATCACGGTGGAAACTGGCGAAAGTAATGTTCCTCATCAGTTTTAAATTGTTCTTCCATTATGATATTGACCTTCGGAACTGAAAATTGTCAGTGGCTACATGTACTTTGTTTGATTTTTTGATTTCTAAAATATAATGCCTTTTTACATATAAATGAAAGGAAATTATAATAATAATAATAAATTACATTGCATGAAATTCACACGAAACTAAATAGAATCTCAAAGGCGAGAAAGTCTCAACAAGCCATGAAGGCTTATAGGTGAGACTTCCTCTTTACATTAGATTTGTTTTTAGTCATAAATATACTTCTATAATTAAATAAAAAACAGCATACAATAGAGTAATTTACAAGTGAATGGAAAAGATAAAGAAAAATTTGATCGTCTAATAACTGGCAATAAATTACAAATGATTTATTGAGTATTCTGTAAATCTATTAAATGTGATTTAAGTAGACGTTTAAAGGTTCTTATGTTTATGATTATGTTGTTTGATCCAAGGGGTCATCTAATTACTTCATTGACTGTCGATTCTTTCCACGACATTTAGTTCAAGTTGTAAGCTGTTGCCTGAGTTGCAGTGCTGAATAACTTTCTGCTAACAGTATTTTTAATTAGTGCAATACTCCACAAAGGTACTTCCACAAGTGATTGCGTGTGCACCTACAAATGCCGCCATTTTGTTTGAGGCAGGGGACTGAGGGGAGCGGCTGTCAAGCAAGTGGTAGCTATTAAAATTTTGCAAATTGCTGAACTGTCTAAATAAAATCTTTCTAGTTACTTTCACAAAGCCACATCGTAATTTTAAAATTATTCATCCGTATTGTAAAAATGTTCAAACTCTCTCTAGCCATGCCGCTACCAGCAGGATTCGGCGCAGGATTTTCATGCGCTCCGGGACCGGGACCACGTGGTCCTGCAATGTCGTTCAAGGTCAATGATTGGTTATGGGGCCCTGGGTACAAGATGGCATGATTGTCGAGGACGATCGGGATTTCGAGTCTTGCGCCTTGTAGGCATTTCACGAAGTAACGTAAAGATTCTCGAGAGTAAAATGTCGCCGACAGATTTAATTTACCTATCGATGTTAGTAGGAGCGATTCCGCTCGGTCATTTGGTGAAGATAAGCGGTTCGCCGGCACGAAAAGAGTTCCTCTGTATGGCCGCCGGAATATGTCTCTCATTGGCCCTTGTGGGTCGAGGAATTTTACATTCTTTTGTGGCCGTTGCAGGAACTTATTTGATAGTCATTTTGCTTGGCAAAAGGTAAGTCTTCTGCTCAGAAAATAGTCTAAATGTCGTTATCTATAAGCGTGTCTGGAAAAGAATTTACGTAAACGCCATCAGTAACTGGTATTGCTGTTCGCTCAGGACTTGAGGTTAAACGCTGCTAAATTTGGATGTAATCAAAATTTCCTGCTCTCATAATGTGGTGTGCTATGGTTGTCATTAGGCAAAAGTAAAGTTGGATGAAGATTAAATTGTCTCATACTCAAACTGAAAGTGAAATCTGAACACGTAAGCTGCAGTACAATCTCAAATACATGTATTGATACTATGACATGATCATAACCTTTACTAAATAGGTCAACCGTGCACAAGGGGAACTGAAATCTGGGCCTCTTCGGAGAGCGCTACAATACTTGTGTGAAAGAAATGTAGTTAAATATGATTAAATTGGTGATAAAGAAAGCGTCAGATTTGCCTTTTTAACAAAATTAATAGAAAAAATGCTAAGATCCTAGATTTTTTGAGCAAGGCTGAATGAAAGTTTTAACTCAAGACCATGCTGGCCAGCTGTCTCTCGCAGGGTGCTCTAATCCCATTGCAGGTGTTTATGGGTCTTTTTATACCCATTCTTCAGAGTTCAGGCCATTACATGCGCATGTCATTGCCTGCCGTGGCTAGTGCTTTCAAATGGTTTTTCTGTGGGTGAGGACAAAACATGGACCAGGGGTCCATGGACCCCCTCTTTGGACCAGGTCCATGGACCACTTTCATGGACCAGGTCCATGGACCCCCTGTCATGGACCAGGTCCATGGACAGTTTTTTTTATTTTTATAAGAAGGTTTTGCACCAGGTCCATGGACACTCAAAAACAGAAATAGTGCCAAAAAAAGATTTCACGAGACACTGTCGACCAATGCTCACGATTGATCACAAATATTTAGTTGTGCTTACATGACGTACACTCTGCTTGCACAAGTGCAGTCGCAAGACTGTTAAATTAAGCTAATTCAAAAGTTATCACCAAGAGAGGAATTACGCCCTCCAGTACAAAGACTTGCATCAACCTTAGCAAAACAAGCTGGAGTTAAGAATCCATTGCTTTTAGAGCAATCATGACTGAGTCACATCGCAATTCTCCATAGCTGATGTAGCTTCAGTTTAAGCTACAATCCATGCCACTTCTTTTTCTTCGAGATCTGGATCTGTTAATCACTCAGTCCGTGAGAATTTATAATCATCCTGCTAAAAGCACTAAGGAGCTGGGCCCAGCGTGACAAAACATTGCAGGAAAAAGTGACATTCATGGACAAAAACAAAGTGGCTTAGAATTTTTCAGATCCAGGATGCACTTAGGAGAAATTAAACAAACTAAAACCCTTTTAATCAGCCGCAATGAACAGCTTTACATTTTAAAAGAGGTAGAAAATCAATATGTGTCACGACCTCTCAGTATAAAATAAGCGGCAAAAATTCGCATTTGCTCAGTCAAAAGGTTTTCCTCCGAAGCATAATCTACCCATCAGAGAAAACAATTCATTGGAACAAGCAGCATTTTGGCATGAGGTACCGACGCCCCCCTTTTTTTTACACTATGTAAGCACAATTAAACATTACTGATCAATCGAGCATTGTTTGTTGTTGTTGTTGTTTTTTTAACCTTATTTTTGCACTATTTCTGTTTTTGTTCATTTCTCATTATTAAAAAAAGTGTCCATGGACCCGGTCCATGAAAGTGGTCCATGGACCCGGTCCAGAGTGGGGGTCCATGGACCCCTGGTCCATGTTTTGTCCTCACCCTTTTTCTGCTCCCTCCCCTCCCCTCCCGCCTATGGTAAGTATGTGGCAGTGAGGTTTGACTGGTTAGCAGTGTGATGGTGTGTGGGTGAACACCACTCTCACGTTTGTCAAGTTTATGCATTGCATATGGCTGCAGTTCATGGCTGCACCGGCCTCAAAGGCACCTCCCCCAACACTCATCTCAGTTGATGAGTTGAAGAGGCTGTAGAGTACTTGCCCTCTTACCACAATGCAAACAGTAGGTTCTGTCAATATTTTGTCCACAGAACAAAGTTATTGCCCTGAGGCTTGCTAAGGCCATTGTTCTGTAATATGCAGCACTTCACCTGCACTTAGGCTGAATTGAGCTTGTATCATCTGAAGTACTGTGCAGTATTCAAACCACGCCTATTTCAAAATGTAAATGCTTTTATCTTGTTTGTTGTATTTTATTGGTGATTTACTTTCGTTGCGTGTTGTTTTTATTAAAGAGGTTGTTTCTAGTGTCTCAGGTCGAGCTATGTCATGATTTTTTGGTATCACTTTGAAACCCTAGAAACACATTGGAATCAAAGAAAACCCTGAAATAATGGTTCATTTTTTTATTTAAAATTACTCTTGATACTACTTTGCATGTACAGGTGTACAGTGTACTTCAACTTTAAGGCTAAATCAGGCTTTTAGCCAGACATTGAAAACTGGCCCTCCAGAAGGCATGTTTTCCCATAAAATTATAAGAGATTGAGTGAATTTTCCTTGTATTCCTTCCAAAAATGGCCGTCCACAGGATGGCTGGACACCCTTCTGGTTAAAACCGTGGGCTAAATACAATTTTTCATCGTTTTATTGATGATTGTGCAAACTGACATGAAAATCATTGTGCAAGCAGAGTGCTAAACTTAGAGTTAGTGGGTCAGGAAGTCGTTTGTGTTTTTTTTTTCTGTATTTATCAGTTAGAATTTCATTGATTTGACAGATTTATGGAGTAACTCCTACATAGATAAATGCATGATGAGGCCTCAAAAAAATTGTTGACAAACCTGTAGAGAAATTTATTTTCTTTTTGTTCTTCAGGCGCTGTGAGTGGACAGCATTTTCGTTTGTGTTTGGATATCTGTTCTTTTT